GTGACGGGTGAGAGGGAGAACGGAGAGGAAGAACGACCGACAGGAGAGGAGCCCACGGCCAGTGAAGGAGCTCCTAAGAAGAAGAGAAAGAAGAAAAAGAAGAAAGCAGCAGAGAATCCCACAGCAGCTGCAGATGGTACATACACAGGTCTATACGCATACTGCATAGAGTTTTTGGTTCCAAGGTCGTAATTTTTCAATGTGGAAAACGACGCCTGAGGTCCTTTATACATGATGCAACTTTAGTGTTGCGTGGGACAAGAGTTGGATTCCAAAAATATAGGGGTATGATAGGCCGTGTACACAAAGTTGCACGAACTATTGTGTGGATGTGGATCCATCATCATTTACAGTTGCATGCAACTTTTGTCCCACACAATGAAGTTGCTCCGTGTACCGTTGCCTTAATAGATGTTAATATTTATGCCCCATGTGTGTTTCTACTGCAGAAGGGGGAGATGGTGAGGGTGGGGAGAAGGGTGGAGAGGGGGATGAGAGAGAAGGGGGAGGGGAGGGAGAGGGAGGTGAGGAGGGACAGGCTAAGAAGAAGAAGAAAAAAAAGAAAAAGAAGGGAACTGCAAATGCAGAGAATGGCGGAAAGCCAGTCACAGGTTTGTAAAGTTACGTCATTTAAATCTCCCGCTCTGATGCTGCGAGTAGGATGGGTGGTTGCATCTCTCTGTTATTCCATCTTCCTCCTTACTCCCCTCCCCTCACTCCCTCCCATCCTCACTCATTCACTCGCTCACTCCCTCCCCTCCTTCCTTTTCTCTACATACTAGTGACAGTATACTGTGTCATTGTACAGTGGTTTGAGGTGTGCCTTTGTGTTGAAAAATTTGAACACCTATATATATACCGGCTAGGTTTCCCTTGTAGCTCAAGTTGGTAGAGTGCCCAGCCTGGACTGCAGAGTGTCGTGGGTTCGAATCCCACCCAGGACAGGTCCTCTTTCTTCCTTATGAACAGGAGTTGTCCTTGGTGTAGTTGACTTGTTTGCCTTGCCTTGGCTTGGCCTACCTCTTTGTTGTCACATACACTCACTCTCCCTGCCTCCTTCCTCTCCCTCCTCTCCCCTCCCCCCTCCCTCCTTCCTCTCCCTCCCTCCTCTCCCTCCCTCCCTGACTCCATCCAGATATTCTCCTGCTATACAGTGGACCATACAGTGAGCCGACCCAGCCAGCCCCTACCCAACAGCAGACAAACCCACCCTCCATCCCCATCTCTCAACTGTACTCTGACAATAACTACCCCACAGGACAGGAAATGGCTTACAAGGTATATATACATATAAGTTATGTACTACGTCAGAGGGACATAATTATAAAGAAGAATAAGAAAAACAAGGGAAGAGAGTGCTGACTCAGCGGGGCGAACATACAACTGTAAGGCACATGTGATGCAAGCGATGACACGTGCACAACCTCCTCTGGTAGGACTGCATGCAGCTCAACGATTAGTCATGTGACCTGCATGTGAGTGTCATGTGACCCCGCTGGTCCACAGGACGATCGGACGGCCAGTCAGAGGTTCTCAATGGCTGAGAAAAGGGCGCTGGAGAGGGCAGTCTCAGAGGTTTACAGTGATGTCAGACAGGCTGCCGAGGCCCACAGGTACGTATAATACATTCACTCTTTAGATTGGCTTCACAACGCATTGCCCCGTCGTGTCGTGCTGAGAAGATGTAAATAGATCTTCGCGGCACAACCCAACACGGGAACAGTGCGACGGGGCAATGCAACGTATAGTGAACCTAGCCTTATTTAGCCTTTGCTCCCCTGTCTAGTTTCCTCTACTACTGCAAGAGGGTCCAGTAGAAATACTCATGTAGGCGGGCCATTTTTTAACCCCTTAACCCCCCTCACATACGTACGTAAACCGAGTGTGTAGTAATTGCACATATTATACTAGTAGGCGAATGCATGGCATTTTTGGCAGCGGAAGCGAGCTTACAAATGGGGTATAATCGTATGAGTCACTCTTGTGTGTGCACAAAACAGTGAGATACGTCGCACTTCCCTTTCCTCCGCTGTTTCTGTTGCCTTGCCCGTTCCCGATCACGCAATCGGCGTTGAGAAAGCCGAGCTTCTCTCTGCTCAGGAGTCTCACTGGCGCGACGTTCTCTTTCCCTCTCTCGTCGACGACAAAGAGCATCTTCTCTAGACCGATCCATAACTCTTTCCCTTTCCTCACACGCTCACAAATTATCACGGGTGGAGGGGTGGGACGACGTACCGACGACGTACGGTGACATATATAATTATATATAATATAGAAAAATCGTGCCGTTCGGACCACTAGGTTAGCTCGCTTCCACTCGCCAACAAGTATGCAGTAAAGTTGTACCTTTGAAATCTATGCATGTAGTAGTTATTGCACCTTTTGGAGTGCTGTTGCTGGTTTACAAGGCCGACGTCCCGAGGGCGCGTAAACCAGCAACAGCACTCCAAAGGTTGTAATAATTAGTATTGATAGTTGCTAGGTGCTATGACGTACAATGCCGTCGCCTACACGTGCATATTTGTGGTTTCCGTCTTCTGCCATGCTTTCTCGTGTTGCGGAGCTCCCCTGGCGTTTCTCCTGCTTTGCGCTCTGTTGCAAGTCATGGCAAAAGAGGGTCTCGAAGCTCTTCGCGTAAGTGTCGAAGAGTGAACTTCAGAAAGCGAGGCTGAGGACGATGATCAATCTGCACGGCAGAAGCTGAGGTTGAGTCTGGCATTAGGGAAGTAAGTAGAGCCCATGAGTCAAGAGTAAGTGAGCGATGAATTTTTTAGCGGTGCTAAAGTAAGACGCTGGAAAGAGTTCGTTCCCAGAACACGGAAAGTTGCACTTTAAGCCAGGCTTATATCAGATATAAGCATAACCACGGTTGCAATATTGTCAACTTAACACCTCGTTGGTGTATTAGCTGAATTATAGTAGCACAATAAACATAGCAACCACCTAGCAACGGTCAATAATAGTATATATATATAGGCCTCAGTCCCTTTATGTTCTTAGAATGCTACAGCGCAAAGGCCCCCAGACTTCATAAGCGCGTCGTACGTATATTTCACTGACTCGCTGTCTAACGATCGTTACTTCTGTGTCCTGACACAGGCAGACGCGGCAGCACATCCAGCGGTGGCTGAAGCCAGGGATGAAGCTGATCGACGTCTGTGAACACCTGGAGCAGACGGCAAGGACACTCATCTCTGAGAATGGACTCCAAAGTGGTATATACAGAATTCAACAGATAACCACCTCTCCCCTAACTTTCTTCCCATTTCTTATCGTGTGCTCTTTTTCTCTCTTTCATTTCTTATCATGTGCTCTTTCTCTCTCACTGCTTATAACATGCTCCTTTCTCTCTCTCGTATCCTATCCCATGTATAATACCTGCTTCAAATGGTTAAATTTTCGAATTGCACTAACATCTGAGCAAGCTTGGAAACACTAGTGTTATGTGGAGAATATTTTACGGACAAGCGTCGTTGAATATTTGGTGCTCTGTAGTAGACAAGTTTACGTCTCCCCTGTTTTGTCCCATTCTTCACTCTTACTCTTTCCCCTCCTTTTACCCTCTCTCCCCTCCCTCCCCTTCTCACTCCTCCCTCCCCTCCTTTCCCTCACTCCCCCTTCTCCCCCTTCTCCCCCTTCTCCCCTTTTCCCATCCTCTCACTCCTCCCCCTCTCCTCCCTCCCCCTCCTCTCACTCCTCCCTCCCCTCCTTTCCCTTACCCCTCCCCCTTCTCCCCCTTACCCCCTCCTCTCACTCCCCCCTCTCCCCCCTCCCCCTCCCCCCAGGCCTGGCGTTCCCGACAGGTGTCTCCCTCAACCACTGTGCAGCTCACTACACACCCAACGCAGGGGACGATACAGTCCTACAATACGACGACGTATGCAAACTGGACTTTGGGACCCACGTGAACGGTCGCATCATTGACTGTGCGTTCACAGTTGCATTTAACCCTGTCTACACGCCACTGCTGACTGCCGTGAAGGAAGCAACTAACACGGGTCAGTTGGCCAAGGATACACATGTACATGTACCACTGCAAGGTTTGAACTGAGTCGGCAAGATGCCGCACAATGCTCTGGGTGCATGATACTGATGTCCCTGCCTTCAGTTGTTCCTCACAGAAACGCCACATGGAATGGGCATGGCAGCATGTACTGCACTTTGACCTCAGTTCAGAATCATGCGCATGCGGTAGAAAATATGCGTTGTGTGTGGGCGTTCCGTGTCAGAGTGCCTTATTTAATAGACTCGTGTTTTATACAGGCATCAAGGAGTCGGGGATTGACGTGAGGCTGTGTGATGTCGGGGAAGCCATACAGGAAGTGATGGAATCATACGAAGTCGAGATCGGAGGGAAGGTCCACCAGGTGAGCTGCTGGGGTCAAAGGTGGAAGGTCATTTCCCACGGTAAAGGTCAACTGTTGTGATATGACATGGTGTGTAATTTGCAGGTGAAGGCGATTAGAAATCTGAACGGACATTCGATTGGACCATATCGTGTTCATGCAGGGAAGACAGTACCCATTGTGAAAGGTATACATATACTATATAGTACGTCCGAATACAAGAAGTGGGAAACATTGTAAACTTGCACAGATTTCTTGTAAAGATTTTTTTGGCTTCTACTCTCAAACACCTCTCTATAAGGGACACTTACATATAACGGTATTATATGCACTATGTACCTCTGAATATAGGACACTTACACTGTTTCTACGGTGCCCCTTTATTCTGAGGTTTCACTCTATCAGTTTGTTGGTTGGTATGGAGTTTTGTGTGGTAGTGGAAATGTCTGGGAAAGATGTAGGCCTGGGCTGATTATTCCGGAATAAAAGAATAATAGGGCAAAAACAAGGAATAATCCGCACAGGGCTAGAGAACCTACTAAAGCAGGTGTAGTGGTCTTTGTGTACTACATAATGGGTGTAGGGTGTGCCCAACCACCACTGCTTACCCTGCTGGGTTACATGGGATGACACAATGGGGTGTACACACAAGTCTCTAGACCAACCGTCTCTAGAGAAAGCTCTACCACTGAGCTATACCAGGGCAGCTCAGCAGACTGGGCTCAGAGTAATTCAACCCAGCCCCGAAAGGCAATGCCTAGGCTTCAATCGTGTTACTGACAAAGTGTACAGTTTAACTACGTGTGTGTAGGGCACTGTGGTGTGCTAGTTCATCCCTCTCCTCTCTCTAGGTGGAGAAGCTACGAGAATGGAGGAAGGAGAATTCTTTGCCATTGAGACTTTTGGATCCACAGGTCAGAACATCTTTTAATGCAGATCTGCCTTTGTCTTGTGTTGTGTGCTGTAAGATACGTGGGCCTCTGTCTGGTGAGCTGCCCTCCTGTGTATGTATATAGCTCAGTGGGTAGAGGACTAAATCTACACGTTACTAACTGACTTGGACATTAAAATGAAATAATCAGTGTGCCAAATGATCTGCTCTACGGTACACTGTACATGTGGCCTCCTTGGGATAAGGAGTCTATAAAAATAAAAAAATTACTGAACCCTGGTTGTTGGGTTTGTGGGTGTGTCTCTCCAGGAAGGGGTGTGGTCCACGAGGACATGGAGTGCTCTCACTACATGAAAAACTACGAGACGAGCCACGCCCGGCAACCACTGAGGACCGCCCGGGCCAAAAGCCTACTGGCCGTCATTAACCAGAACTTTGGGACCCTTGCCTTCTGTAGACGGTGGCTGGATAGATTGGGACAGGTAACATCATGTTATAGGCATTTTGAGCTGTTACGTAATTATCTTTCCGGAAGTCGGCCATCTTAGAGGGCAAATGCGCCAATTCTTTGCCATTCAAGATGGCCGCTGTTGCTACGGAAACGTGTCAATTACGTCTGCGCAAAACCTCTATTGTTGTATGTAGCTTAAGGCCAAACATTACACACGGCAACTTCATCGCACGAGGCAAAAATCTAATGCAACTTCAATGGAACATGTTTCGATTATGTGTTGCATTGAAGACGCACTAGACTCTTCCTACACAAAGAAGGTATATAAAACCAACGGAAGCAACGTGTGTTGCCTCACTTCAGGGTGATTGTGTATTGTAGCCTTTATAATGTGTGCATAGGTTATAAACCACGTAGCCGATTATGTGTACACATAATGCGGTCACTGTTCTACATATTTTGCTCAGAGTCGCTACCTGATGGCCCTCAAAAGCCTCTGTGATGCAGGTATTATATACAATACATTATTATAGGAGCGGATGGTGAAAATTTTTATGTATGTACATACAGTACACAATTTTTAACACACGAAATTTACACATGTACAATACATAATAGGAGAGGACGGTGAAAAATTTCTATGTATATACAGTACAAAATTTTAACACATCAAATTTAAACACGAAATTTTGGTTCCAAGAGCATCAACCATACAAAATTGCCCCCACCACAAACATTCACTTCATGCAGAAATGTTACAATTTCCGCAGCTTGTGTACATAGAAAATAAGGTATGTGTATGAATGTGTATGAATGTATTGTTGTCCACAGGACTTGTTGATGCCTACCCCCCACTCTGTGACATACGAGGCAGCTACACGGCCCAGTACGAACACACCATCCTCCTCAGACCCACCTGTAAGGAAGTCGTCAGCCGAGGAAACGACTACTAATTATTGAACACCTCAATTAGCAAACATGAAATTATAGTTCATAGCATACCAGCCATATAATTTATAATTACGTTTAATTACATAACAGTCTCAGATCCTGCATAATATTACCTTTCATGTTTTGTAATTAATTCTCATCCTGAGCATCAATAATAAAATGTGATTCATTCATGCAGACGGCTTATGTGTAAAGACCGACACACACGCATGCGTACTCTATATCCAATCGTATAAGTAGCATAGAGAGAGCCCACGTGGGGCCAGTCTAGCACTAGCCAAGTCTAATGGCAGCTGTATCGTATCTATCGTATGTACTGAGACTCGTAAGAAAGAGAACAAGACCCTAGCTGGTAGATAGCCAGGGGCAACGCAAGCGCTACTGGTGACGTACCGGGGGTTACATAATAATTATGTAAGAGTAACGCTATGATAATGCTACTGTTAATCCCACATGCCTGTAGACCTAACACTCTGACCCACCTATCCCACATGCCTGTAGACCTAACACTCTGACCCACCTATCCCTCATGTAATAGTGAGCGAAAACAGCCCAGCGACAGCGACTTCCAAGCGGCCTCAAGCTCGGTCGCCCAACGCGGTCGGTCTGACAAGCGGCCTCAAGCTCGGTCGCCCAACGCGGTCGGTCTGTAACGTCGATCCGTTCACGGCTCGCACGGCGATTGCGGGATGATGTCCCATCCGTTGTCTGAATGCAGGATTTTCCTCTGTAATGCTGAATCGGCACATACTGTAATGTTTATGTGACACTCAAAAACATTGAACTGCGTCGCTCTGCTCGCTTGCCCAAATATGTGATGCATTCCTCTATCATTAAAACCTATTCCATATTCCTAGTAAACATGGACACTATCTTCATTCCTTAGTTCCTATATAATATGTATAATAATATTGTATGGTTCCTGGGATTCGTCTGGTGCCTATTATGCTATGCTTGATTTGTATGTTGCAGTGCCCAGACAGGACCCTGTAAGGGCTCATGCTGTCATATCTGGGTACTGCAACGGATATCCCTAGGCAACCGACATGTATGAACCCAGATAATTGTATGAGCCCTGTTGGATATCCCTAGGCAATTAATGACATGTATGAACCCTGCTTGCACATGTAGGATTGTATAGGCTGATAAAATCACCCAGTACCTAGCTTCATACGTGTCGGTTGCCTAGGGATATCCAACCAACAATAATACATGGTGGACCCCAGTGCACCCAAAATGACGGTGTTAGTATACAGGAATCAACCAATAGGAAAAATGTACAAACATTAAAATTGGACGTGAAAGAAACGGATAGAGGACTTGGCTGGTAAGTGATGGACAGAGAGTGCAAGGAAAGAAAGTAGCAGCGACATTGATGCACAGTATACAATGGGATACATAGTCGGGTGATATAGTGAGAATGATGAGAATACAGCTGAATAAACTGACACAGCGGGCTAGAGAAGGGACAGGTGGGGGAGAGAGAGAAGTGAGGGAGGAGGGGGAGAGAGAGAAGGGAGGGAGGAGGGAGGAGGAGGAGGGATGGAGGAAGGATCTGTGGGACTGCGATGAGTAGGTGTATAAATGAATGCCTGAAATCAGCACAGCCTAATGACAAAGTAATATAACAATAGTGAAGTCTGCTGTTGCAGTATTTTGTAGTTTGAAAACGAGACTAGAAAGGTCGTGAGGGGGGCTCAAGAGGCTGGGGTGGATCTTCTGTTGCTGCTAGTTGACGTGGTGGTCTTTGGTATGCACTTTGGACACGTGTATACCTCAGGGACTGAACTTTTCCTGGGTGGACAGTGGGAGAGGAGGGAGGGAGAGAGGGAGAAGAGAGGGAGAGGGGAGGGAGGGAGGGAGGGAGAGGGGAAGGAGGGAGGGAGAGGAGGGAGGGAGGGAGGGGAGGGAGAGAAGGGAGAGGAGGGAGGGAGCAATTAATGTGCAAGTGACAAGGAGAGTGCAGATTGCCTAAAAGCAGGCCCTCCCCTAAACACAGTGACTTTTCTTCATGAGTGGAACCGCTGTCGTACATCATTGTAAACACACGTCCCTTTGATGCAGGAACTGTAGGAGTAGTAGGTACATGCTATGCTCTTTCTCTTCGTGTACGAGGCTGCCTGTGCTTCTTCACCAGAGTCTCTTATATACCAGCCACTGTCCAATCCTTCGTGTCAGGCGCGTCCCACATGTGCGTGCAAGCAACTCATAGTCATAGTGAGACACAGACAGGTTTTCTATGAAGTCTTTTGTTGCGCTGGAAGTTCAAGCGTGTGACCACCCGTGAGTGGAATAATACACATCATCCAGTGGTGATGTCACTCTGACGCAACATGCACAGAAAGAATCCCGGTCCACGGAAAGTTGGGGGAATTACATGCATGTGCAAACAGTGCACACCTACCAAAGCTACAGGTAAGAGAAACGTGTCAAATTTGCTTGATTTGGAGTATTAAAATGCTGCGTGCACATTCAAAATGTATGGGCATGATGCATCACATGTTCTCACAAAATGGTGATTTTCTGGTGGGATGGGAAGTATTTTGGCTTGATTTTCAAGCAATAAGGTTGGTATGTATGAAGCTCTACCAAGCCCCTTCCCAATAGATATATATATATATATACATGTGTGTGAGTGAGGAGATAGAGAGAGAGATGAGAAAAGTCTAGGAGTGAGAGAGAGATGAGAAAAGTCTAGGAGTGAGAGAGAGAGATGAGAAAAGTCTAGGAGTGAGAGAGAGATGAGAAAAGTCTAGGAGTGAGAGAGAGATGAGAAAAGTTTAGGAGTGAGAGAGAGATGAGAAAAGTATAGGAGTGAGAGAGAGATGAGAAAAGTCTAGGAGTGAGAGAGAGAGATGAGAAAAGTCTAGGAGTGAGAGAGAGAGATGAGAAAAGTCTAGGAGTGAGAGAGAGAGATGAGAAAAGTCTAGGAGTGAGAGAGAGATGAGAAAAGTCTAGGAGTGAGAGAGAGATCTAGGAGTGATAGAGTGTGACAGAGGAAGAGATAAGACTCAGAAAACCACAGAGGGTGGGTGACTGGTTATGATCACATCTGGATAGTTTACACACTGACCAACACCCAGGTGCACAGTGTTGTGTTGTATTGTATTGTAGTGTGTATAGTGTGCAGTTTGTGATTGGGGAAAGAGAAAGGGAGGTAAAGTGTAGGCAGGACTAAAGCAGAGAGTGGGCGGATTTGTCAGCGGCGCATGCGGCCAGCCAGGTGCTTAAATGTAAACCTATCCACAAGTCAAGCAACATGCAAGTGCAGTGCTAGGCTCTTTGTTACTGGTCATCAGGGGAGTTCCCAATCTTTCACCATGTCACACGCGTTTCGGCCTCTTTAAAACTCACGACACGTGAGACACTCCAGAAAGGGTGAGGTCACTTGGTTGGAGTCCAGATTTTCCTACTACACGGCTACAATTATACTTACCTACAAAGTTACATAAAGGCAACTTTAGTATATACACTAGCTATTGACTTGCTTCATTTCTTTGGTCTTCTCTATTCTTCACTCCTCCTAACTGAGCTACTACAGGCAAGCTTGGCTGTTTTATACCTTGTTGTGGACGTTATGTCTACTAAAGTCAAAACTCCACATGCTGTTACGTGTGTGCGCGTGTGTGTGTGTCGAGTTACCTAATCTTGGCACAAAAGAGGTGTACCCATGTATTGCACTTGGAGCACTCTATCATTGGTCTCCCAGCAAACGGCCGTCGACAGAAACACGTCACGAGGTTCCAAGATTCATCCTCTTTATTCAGGAAGGAGGAAGGGAGGGAGGGAGGGGGAGAGGAGGGGGAGGGAGGAGAGGGAGGGGGGAGGGAGGAGAGGAAGGGGGAGGGAGGGAGGGAGGGAGAGGGGGAGGGAGTGGTTAAAATTTCAAAGTGCACATATAGCTTTACCAGTGCACTGACAGTGAATACTCACCATTAATTGTATTGTGTGAACCTTAGTATAGTACACGGCATATTTGCCGAGCAGGGTCAGGCTACTCAGTCGCCCGAATTAAGCAATTTTTCTACAATGACGTCACGACACACACATGCATCTGCCACTGCCACACTTGATGCACAGCAGTCCACAGCGAACGGCATTTACTGGCCAAACATGGGTTAAATTCGTTCTCTGTAAAAACAGGACACCCGATTACCAACCTGGACCCTGGGCCAAGTATATATGTGCCTCGAAATCTGACGGCAAAATAGATTTGAAACTGCTCTAAGTGACAAACAACCGTAGCCTCTGATACCAGCCAACTTCCATACCGACCGTGTCCTGATTAGGGACGTATGTATACATCCCTTATATTGGTCACTATTAGGAGTCCTGGTTAGCGACGTAATGTATACTATTAGGAGTATGTGTCACAAAGTAGAGAAATGTACAATTCCATGTGCATCACATGAAGGATACAGTGTGTGTATATGTTGCAGTGCACAGGGCGAATGCTGTCCTGTCTGGGTACTGCAACAGATTTGTTGGATATCCCTAGGCAAACGACATGTATGAACCCTTCTTGCACATGTAGGATATATTGTATAGGCTGATACAATCCCCTAGTACCTAGCTTCATACATGTCGGTTGCCTAGGGATATCCACTATTACTATGTATTCACAATAACTACTATTATGTGTAATAGCAGCAAACTTCCCATTTCGTCATTCACAACCAAAGAGGAATTCCTTGAAGGAGCCATATTGCTTTACATTGTACAACCAACAAAATATCACAGCGAAATATTTCGTGCACAACTGCAAATCTTTTCTCCCCTAAAACTTTTTAGATGTATACTACTGTATTTGTACCTGAGGTGTACTCCAACAGTTCTTCGTTGCTTGAGTCTTTTGAGGCGGAGACGGAAGCCCCCCTCCCCCTCTCCTCCTCCCCACTCTCACTACTGTCACTACTGCTGGTGCTGGTGCTTCCCGTGCTTGCCGGGGGGACGGGGGAGGAGGTGTGATCCCGGTGAGGCGGTGAGGGTGGTGATTCTGGGGAGGGCTGCTGGCCAATGTGTCGATTGTTATCGGCGTCGTGCCGTTGGAACGCGATTCGTTGTGGTCGGATGTATTAGAGTCTTGATGGTGGTGGGAGTTGTTACTGATGTGTTGTCCTTTGGTATTGGTGGAGATGGTGGTGGGTGGATGTGGGGAGCTGTTCTCTGAAGCCATTGCCTGACGTTCCTTCATTGAGGGGGGAAGGGGGGGAGGATAAAAGAGGGAGAGAGGGAGGAATGAAAGGAAAAAAATTAAGGATAGGTTTGTACACCCCCTCACTTCCAACACACACATATCGAGAGTGTCATTCACAATTACATAAACATGGTATTTTCTACATGTACCAATACATCTGCTGTTGAAAAAAAAGGCGCACTTGGCTCTCTCTCTCTTACCAGCTGCTCCTCATAGGCCAGCACGAAACTGCAGAAGTTGAAAAAATCGTCAAACGTCCGCTTTTTCTCCTGACCCTGTGAACAACGTAGTACCACAGCATTCATTGCAGGAAAAAGTTCTTAAGGTTAACACCAATGTGTGTGTAATCACACCAGATAACTGGTGGAGAACAATAAAATAATACAGGGAAGCAAGGGTGGGAGGGAGATTTTGCTGGAATTTCTTTGACGGAGGACCACATGAATAATGGTTTAATAGACAACAGTCCCGAAGGTTTCTTGGCAAAATTTGCACTTTCAGTCAATTTTTTCAAGAGTAAATATCCGCTATAAACACCTTCCTGTGACACAGAACACAGAAGTATAAGGTGGTGAGTATGCTGGACGGGGAATTTGACATCCGTCCCTACAATCACACAAGTATCTACTGCAACATTAGGCACACCAACAATGGTGCATACATGGTTTATGGGTGTACTATTGCGTATACCTCAGAGCCGCCGGCTTCTCCAGATTTCCTTTTCCTAGATCTTCCTCTCCCTGCGTGAACGATAGAGATAAAAAGATGACGGTGTACGGAGCGTGTCGTGGTGGCAGACACCGCGGACGGCAAAATAAGGCGGAACTACACACACCAAAAAACGTAACACACACAGTCACAGTCACACACAAGTCACTCAAGCTCACTAGAAGAGCGGCCAGTCGCGTCATCTGCTAGAGGCGGTGGGGCCCTGGGCTCGGGTAAAGGCGGGTCCTCTGTAGCTGCACTCGCCATTGACGATGATCCCTCGTCTTCTTGCCTTCTTCAAAACGCAGCTGCTGCCGTTATCAGTAACCTTCGCTTCGAGCTCTCCGGGACCGGCCTGGGAAATCGCGACGAAGACACTAGCTTTGAGTCTTATTCCACGACCTATATGAGATTCTCCCTCAGCTGGAACGGCCTCGGGAAACGTTGCAGGCTTTCTCTTCTTCGACGTCCACTTTCCCGGCTGCTGGCCTTCGCCGCTAGCTGTAGCCGAGCGCCTCTATCAAGCAGCTGTGGAGCACTAAACTTCGTCTGTAGCACACCACTGCCCGTCGTGTTCTCCACACCAACAGACAAGCTCCGACTCGCCTTCTTCTCCCGAAAAATCGCCCGTGTGTACTTGGGCCTCCTCTTCTCTCCCGTTCCGCTGATTGGCTAGCGAGGGTCGCGGCATGTCTAATTAGCAGCTGGTCACGCCCATTTCGGCCGGCTCATTGCGCGCGCCTCCGTAAATAAACGGTCACGTGCGCGTGTTTGTATACACTTTTATACAGTATTATACAGCCCATATCATCGATCATCATCCAAGATACACAGCTAGAAGGGCCGCTAGGCAGCCTCTGGGTGATAGTTTTTCGTTGATCTGCGTTCCCGGACAAGCCTGCTGGCTGCAAGATGCATCGCTCCAGTGCCGTGACTTCGGCCTCCATCTACGAGCGAAAGTTCGCCGAGAAATTGACCATCTTGAACCAACGCGGACAGGGCATTCTCATCCGCGTCTACAACATCAAGAAGGTGCCCCAATTCTCGTTTGTGCGGACGACATGTACTATAGAGGATCCTGTGTGCGTGCGTGAGCCAAGGCCCCATTTCCCATGGAGCGCATAGAGGACCCGCCTAACAGTATGGTAGTGGGTGGAGCGTGCTAAACTTTGATCTATGTACAAAAGAAGATGAACAAAACTCCCTATTACATCTATGATGCTAGGTACCATGCCAATCCCTATATACTAAGTACTACAGTTCTTAGTGTGCTGTGCCCTGGAGGCCACCATTTGGAACTGTGTCCACATTGTAACACGCTAGCTCTCTCTGTTAGTGTATGTATGTACTGTATGTTTCGTTATAGAGAGGGTAGTGAATGTTTCTTGCCTGTACATATTTAGCAACAGAAGTGACTGTTATTTTAGGCCCTTCTTGCGGCTTTTGGTATACCAGCAGATATGAAACCTACAATACATACATTAAACCTACATTTAACCTACATACATTCGCCACGGAACCAAACTTGAAGTGTCCAATTTCGTTCCACATTATGCGCAAACCCACACTGCATAACTGAATGCACACAATGCATGCCTTATCTGTATATACGCTCACCCTTCGGCTAAAATGTCGTGTGTTACGTGTGAGTAATGAGTAATTGTTGTGGTGTTTGTGGTCCTCCGTGCAGTCGTGTCTCGACCCCAACACACGGCCAGCTTGTCTCTCTGACAGGACCCTGGACTCTGCCATCAAACACATCAACAAGAAATTCCCCAATGTTGACACAAAGGTGTATTTATTGTCTGTCTCCCCATTGCCCCTCTTTCTGCTCTTTGCCCCATTGGTTACCAGAGATTATACAGTGAAACCTCTGAATAAGGGACACCTTGGTGACATCTAAATTGTCCTTTATTCAATGTTCAAAGGTGATAACCAGGTGCCTTTATAGGAAGGTGTCCTTTATTCGGAAGTTCCTTTTTGGAGGTTTGACTGTATCGCTCCTCTCTCTCCAAACTCTTTCATCTCTTCCCTCCCTCCCTCCCCCCTCCCTACCTCCCTCCCTCCCCTCTCTCCAAACTCTTTCATCTCTTCCTCCCTTCCCTCCCTCCCCTCTCCCTCCCTCCCATCTCCCTCCCTCCCTCACTCGCAGGACAAGAGCCATCTAACTGCCATCTCCAGCCTACAAAAGGACATAATGCAGCATCTTCCCAATTACTACCATACCTTTGTAGACGTCATGGAATTTAGAGACGTCACCAATGAGGTCGTTACCTCCGTGGCAACCTCTCAGTTCTTCTTTGACATTGTGAGCACTGCACTCCAATTGATGCACACCTCTGTCCTCCAATGCTGTGTATTACCACTTTATGTGTAATGGTCAAGAAATCAGTACCGTGTATTAATTTCAAAGGAAAGTTGAATCACATAGGCAATTAACAGAATGTTTTTCTTTTCTTAATTCATTTGTGCTAAAAGTCATCAGGGTTTCACCATTGCAATACTTCCCACTGTACGTTATACACAGTACATCAATGTGAGATTGTGTTGATTTATTTGTCCAGACAACGAACGTTGACCTGACGAGCTCTCTACTGGAGCTGGTGGCCACATATGCCAGTATCATGATCCTACTGAGTCAGGTGGATGATAGGAGGTATGTAGGTGGGGGGAGGGGGGTGGGGGAGGGGAGGAGGGACACCCACAAGGGAGGGAGAGAATGAGGGTGGGAGGGAGGGGAGAAAGGAAAGGAGGGAAAGAGGAGAGAGGGAAGGAGGGAGGGGAGAAAGAGGGAGTCATGGAGGGAAGGGAGAGAGAAGAGAAGAAAGAAGAAGGGAAGGAGAAGAGAGGGAGGAAAGGGGAGGAGGAGGGAGTAAGAAAGATTGGACTGATCAACATTTCTTCTACTTAACCGACACCCACCCACGCACACACACACACACAGTACTCTCTGTCTTCTTCCCCAAAGCTATAGCTGGGCGGTATACCGGCAGGGCTGTTCAACACTGCTCATTCTTTTACTGGCACACACTCTCTCTCTCTCTTTCCCCTCCTCAGGGCTATAGCTGGGCTGTTCAACGTTGCTCATTCTTTTACTCTCTCTCTCTCTTTCCCCTCCTCAGGACTATAGCTGGGCTGTTCAACGTTGCCCACGAGATGAGTAGAGGGAGCCAGGACCCTAGCTTCCCTAGACTGGGTCAGATGTTCACTGAGTACGACCACGCCCTCCGGAAGATCTCCGAGGATTTCATCCCCCTGGCAAAGGTGGGGAGGAAGGGAAGGGGAGGGGGAGGGAAGGAATGTGGATTAGCTGTGCGGAGTAGAGGTTATTGGAGGATACGCAGTCCCCAAAGGATGAGAGGAGGGCGAATATTTAATCCCCTTAAAAACTGTAATGGTTCAGTACATATTACAATGTGTGTTTCCAGGTGATAGTTCAGGCAGTGATGTCACTCCGGCCGCTCTACCAGCGACGTAACCTACCTGCCTACCAGCTGAGGTCTCAAGTAAGGACATTATTGTACTTTAGAGAGCTTAGAGAGCCGCGGGCATTTGATAGCCTCGTATATACCCAGACTCTTCAGACGGAGGAGACAGAGCGTGGTGCTCACTGTTAACGCATGCACGTCGTAATTATGGCTCCCGGCAGCACGTGAATCCAAGGGACGTGTATAATGATGTACAACAACACTAATGAGGCAGGTGATTTACTGAATGGCAACTAGACGGTCTTACCAGTAAGGCTTGTCGCTCTCTAGAAATTGACATTCACGGTACACAGCCTTGCTTATGCATGATCGCACGAATATGACATCGCCGTGAGACAGACGTGTACCGAAAATGCCCTGATCCCCTTAAAGTCGGGATTACATGCACGCACAAACAGCAGGCTATTTCGATTACATGCACGCACAAACAGTGAGTACTGGGCTATTTCGATTACATGCACGCACAAACAGTGAGTACCGGGCTATTTCTCCTCCCCGCAAAGAACTGTGGCATTGGAGTGGAGCGAGAACATACTACAGGGCACCCAAGGCTGTCTAATGTGTGTTTTTTTTCCATGGATGACTAGAGACGTCTAGAACAAGGGCAACGTGTACTGTGTATATACACTGAGGGTTTGTTTCAAACTATAACGGATGTTGTTAACCCTCAGCGCGCATGCACTGCGAGGGTTACTGTAGTTGTCGTGTGTGTCTGTCATCTCACTTCACGAGCCATGAATCGCTCCACAGACAATGCCATGTATTCAGCGTCGGGGAAAAGGTCGAAAAATATGTGGGGTTTTCTCTGAAACTGCTGCGTTCGGGCTAACTACACTACTAGATAGCATACGAACATGAGCGAAAAAGCCAATATGCTAAGTAGAACAGGCTTACCTCGACCGGGGCCACTTCCTCTATGTATCTTGAAGGCACAAGAAGTCACAGCGAAGGGCGTGTATCGACTCCCGCATGGTATCTTGATGTAGCTAGCCCACGTCAGACTCTCTGCGAGCTACTAGCGTGGACCACATACTAATAGCCCAGCCCATCAATTAGCGGTACCGTGCAAGCGCAGTTCGCCGAGGGTTTGCACTTCAGTACTTTTCGTTAGTCACAGTAATCTGTGTCTCCCGCAGGGTCAGCTGAGTGCCAGTGCTAACCCCAACCTGATGCTGCAGCCAATGCTCTCCAACGAGCTGTCCTGTGACCTCCTCTCACTGGAGACCATGCACAGATGGATACTCTGTACGCCACCACCCCTCAACCTCCACCTCTCTCCCTCCTTCTTCTCTTCTCATTCTCTCTCTCTCCTTCCATCCTCTGTAGGCCACCACCCCTCAACCTCCACCTCTCTCCTTCCTTCTTCTCTTCTCATTCTCTCTCTCTCCTTCCATCCTCTGTAGGCCACCACCCCTCAACCTCCACCTCTCTCCTTCCTTCTTCTCTTCTCATTCTCTCTCCCATTCTCTCTCTCTCTCTCTCTCTCTCTCTCTCTTCTATCTTCTGCATAATGTATACACCACAGCTTTTCCTCTTTTTCTCTCTCTTTTACTTGACAACTCTCCCCTCTGTAAAGTAAGGAGCGATAATCATAAGATGAAATTTGGAGTGATATAGCAGAAAGTCAAAAAGTACACAGAGAGATAGGTGTAAACTCCAGGGGAATAGGCACGCCAGCTACTAGCTTGCACTCGCCAGGCACGTCTTACTCAAAATCATTTCCTGGCAGAACTCTGATCACGTGTCATCTCGTGATACTACTGTACACAGCAATGTATACGGGTGATGCAAGAACACGGGTGTTACATAGGGAGAAAGATGAAGAGTAAAGAGCGGGATAGGGTGAAATATGATAGTAGAGAGAGAGAGACAAGGGACAAAGGAGATAGAGGGAAAAGACAAAAAGACTCTGTTCTACTTACTTTCTCCTCCCTCCCCCCACCCCTTGTCCTCAGTTGGGTTCCTGCTGTGTCACAGCCAGCTGTCCTCCTACCCTGGGGCCTCAGATCTCTGGAAGCTGGCTCTCTATGACGGCTTCTACCTCACCCTCTGCCGCGACGAGGCCATCGCCGTCCACGGTGTCTTTGAGAAACTCCTCTCCGACTCCAAAGACAAAAAGTGGGTCGTGGAAAATACGATCTCCTAGCAGGAAACTGTAAAATTTAGAGGGAGATCAGCACTTTTGCTGTTCGGTTGCAAATGAATTTCGCATGGATGAACTTGCAGATAGTTTTGCTGTGATACATACAACAAAAGTCCCGACTCACGTAATTCACAGACAGCTTAAAAATCGTGTTAATTTTGCTATTTTTCTCACCTGAAAGTTGTCTGCTATAATGGTAGCCCTTGCACCTCTGTATTAGCAGTGATTCTAGTACACTCTCTTGCAGCCTTTTGGCACAATTTTACTGACCCAAGGCGTGATGAAAGTTTTTAGTACGTAAAAGTTGTTTGTTGAAAGACTGCAGTCTGTCTGTCTGCCCCACCACCATTTTTAGAGGGGAGGAGACCCCTAAGGATATGTTTGTGTGGCAAATGACAACTGCCTGTTCCAACACCATTTTAGAGGGGGAGACCCCAGTTTTGTGTGTGGCCAGTGACAGCTGTCTGTTCTCACACACAGTGATCGGCGAAGAGCGTCAGAAGCAGCTGAAGCCCTCAACCAGGCCCTCCAGAATGCGTGAGTTCTTCCACCTCTGCCTTACCTTGTATGTATAATGAGAGGGGGCAGTAGTAGCGATGCACACGGTAGTTCACCTCTATGTTTTATGACCTAACATGGGTATCCAGTGTTTCCCGCAGGGTAATATTCAAATAGGGTGCAACTTGCTACTCCACCTTTCAGAGCAATTCCTGGAAATCCCCTACTGACCTAAAGCCTTTGAAGTGCTACTCTATTAAGTGTGCACTGTGCCGTCGTGCTATTTGGATTCTAAAATAATTGTACACGCCCATTTTCGGGATTTTTCAATCCGGGCAGAGCGCCCGGTAGTTATAATGGTGGTGGAAACACTGGGTATCTTTTCAATTGGCTGCATGACTGGTTTTAGGTCATAATTGGCAACCTAGTCGGTACATGTTGCAGTCTATTCCGCCCTCAGGTGTCAGGTTTATTAAATATACATACACCTCCTGGGCATGCTATGTATAACTAATAAGGCAGTCCACTAGTCTCTCTATACCCACTAAGCTCCATGGTTCAATGCTCCACTGCTCTCTTCCCCCCAGAGGAGCCCTCCATCGTGACAGGAGGCGGTACCTGAGGACAGCGCTGTCCGAGCTACACCAGCTCCTCTCTGACTCCCCCGGTCTGTGTGGACCCAAGGTGATCCACCACATCTCATCCTCTTTTTTACTCTTCTTTCCTTCTTTCTCACTTCTCACGTGCATTGCATGAAGTAAGTTACACTTACTCTTACTTACTCTTAGGCTAGGTTCACATCGTCGCAATGGCCCATCACACCGTGCCGCGTTGCCGCGCTGCGAAGATAGGTCTATCTTCACGGCAGGACGCGACAGGGCAATGTGCCATATTGTGAACCTAGCCTTAGGCTGCTAGCAAGATTGGGTTGCTAGCTACATACGTTGAAATCTCCCCCTCTGATGCTGTCTGTAGTGAACACATTCAACACACCTTAGTACAGGAGAGCTTGAGAGACATTGTAAATGACTGCTCCCCCTTCTCTTGATTCTTGGCACCTTTTGTAAGAGTTTGGAGTAAACACGACTCACTTGCAAACTGATCGTTGAAACTGCCCAAAACCGGTTGTTACTTCATATAAGAATCACGAAATATGCTACTGTTCCACTGTCCCTATGTGTAGTCTCTCCCAGTATCAACTAGTCTCTACTGATTTCCACCAGTCCCCAAAACCCATCTCCCACTGATTTTGCAATCTAATATAGACACGGTAAACAAAGCTACGTATCCGTGTGAACACTTATACGCACTAGCGTAATAACCTGAACATTAGAACATTTTAGTGCCAAAACACCCCTGTGTCCCACGTCAATTTCACAAGCAAGAATAAAACCTTAGCATTAATTATCAGGCTCTGACAGTGCTGCTGGCCCTGACTCTGGCAAGAGACGAAGTTCTGTGGCTCATGAAACACATGTTGGCCCCGCCCCCAAAGGGAAAACACCGCCCTAACCCAGACGACTACCAAGACCCCGCCCTCCCCGAGCTCCTCTTCAATATCGTTGAAGTCAAGGGTGAGTTTAGTATGCACTCGGGACTCGGCGCAAAAACGTGTTTACTAAATCCCATAGTAACTCGCATCGTGTTTACTAAGTGCCGTGGCACCGTTTCCCCGCGCAACCCGTGCACGTGTAAAAATAAAAGTCGATTGGAATTCTCACTGACTTCTCGTCCTTTGAAATCTGCGCTCATTATACGTAAGTCCTTGGGCCCCTTACGTGTAGTAGTGTCCACGCTGCAATAGGAACACCACAACGCCAGGACCCTCGGGACGCTCATTATGCGTAAGTCCTTGGGCCCCTTACGTACGCTGCAATAGGAACACCACAACGCCAGGACCCTCGGGACGCTCATTATACGCAAGTCCTTGGGCCCCTTACGTTCGCTGCAATAGGAACACCACAACACCAGGACCATCGGGGTTCTAATGGATGACGATTTCACGAACTTGACTAGACAATAGAAAACAGGGTAATGACCGAACTTTTCACACTCATGTGTAAAGACTGAGACACTATATTATACGCATGCATACTCAGATTCAAATTGACCAATCAGATTGTGTAAAACTGTAAAACGTGGATTCTAATCCCCGTATTTTCCAAGTGCGTGTTTCGACGGAGACACCCACCAAAAAATGGCGTCTTCGATGGGGGTGTGGCAAGCTTCCGCGTAGAGAAACTTGCTCTGTCGCTGAGAGATCGCAGTGACGACTTCAAGCTCGCTGTATCCGATGCTTCTTCGATGAAAGGCCTCTCTACGATGCAAAAAGAAATAAAAATGAAGACCTTTTTAGCTTCACCCAGCGAGACACCTAGACACTATATACGCATGCGTACTCTATATATCAAATTGTATAAGTAGCATAGAGATCCCACGTGCGGGCCAGTCTAGCACTAGCCAAGTCTAATGGCAGCTGTATCGTATCTATTGAATGTGCTGAGACTCGTAAGAAAGAGAACAAGACCCTAGCTGGTAGAAGCCAGGGGCGACGCAGCGCTACTGGTGGTGACGTCTACGTTGGTACCACCAGGCTGTGCACATCGATACGATCACTACTCCTAAACTGTTTGCATTGTTGCAGACTCCTGAGGATGTGGGCGGCACAGTGCTGGTTGTGTTGTTCAGAACTACTACCTTCGCTACATGGGGGCTACGACGCACAGCTCATCAGAGATGTCGTATGGTAACGAAGGCCAGGAGAGAGAGACAAGAAGAAGAGGCGAACCTCAGCGTGAGAGTAGAGAGAGTTGAACGCCCCACTGCAGTGGCAAGAGCAATCGACGCACGAGAGACGAACCCAGAGAGACCGAACAACGACCAGCGGACAAAAGAATTGCGAGAACGGACGACGCAAAGCCTCGCAGAGAGACCGGACCGCGACCCACCAACAGACCCACCTGATCAGAGAACAACCGATGAATTGCGTGAAGGCGATGGAGTAGTGAGGCGGCCCACTCTTCCCAACCTATTGCACTCCGCCCCCGAGGAGCACGTTGAGAAGGGCGATGAACACCGAGATCGCTCCGAGTATAAGCGATGCGACCTCGCATAAAAGCACCGCACCTCCTGATGGATCTCCGAGAATCCACGAGAGTATGAGAGCGCCCCAAATAAACCACCGCCTTGAGCCGAACAGAACCCCGAGCACCTCATCGGAGAGTGAGCGTGACGAGAGAGCTGCACGCGGTGAGAGGTTTAGCCGATGAGGCGGATAAAGAGAGGGACCTGGAGAGGATGAGAGTCCTATGAGATCGGGACTTCGAGAGAGAGCCAGGAGTTGAATGGAGACGTAGACGAGGGGGAGTACCCGAGAGGACTTGTAAGTTGCCGGACGAGTCGCACAGAGGACGAGAAAGAGGACGGAGCTCATAGAGAGGGAGAGACCTGAGAGCAGTGACGAGGGCCAAGAGCCCCGGCACGTCACACGGGGTTGAGAGCGAAAGAGAGGGAGATATCGTAAGACGTGAGTTGCCCCAGAGAGATGTAGAGAGATGTGAGTTGATGTGAGAGAGGGAGAGCGAGAGTGAGGCACGAGAGAGGAGGAGAAAAGAAACGAAAAGAAAAAAGGAACGGGGAGAAAGAAAAGAAACGAAAGGCTTCGTGTCCTCCTTTACTCCCTTCCTTCTCTCATTCCCTCTCCTATCTCTCCCCATCTCCTTGACCCATGTCCTTTTCTCCTCTTCTCCTTTTCCACGCCTCCGCCCCTCCCCTCCCCACTTCCCTCTCGCTGGCCTCTCACATCCTACCCTCCTCCTCCCTCCTATCCCCCCCCCTCCCCTCCTCCTCCATCCTCCCCCTTCCTCCTCCTCCTCCTATCCCCCTCCCTCTCCTCCTCCTCCTCTCCTCCTCCCTCTCCTCCTCCTCCTCCTCCTCCTCCTCCTCCCTTTCCTCCCATCCTCCCCCCAGCGTATCATGGTGTGTCCAGAAGAGGAGAGCATTCTGATGTCGTCAATGGTGGAGACACTGGCTAGACTCCACGGACAGACAATGACTGAGAGATCAGAGTACGACTTTGATGCTCTGCGACTGGACTGGTTTAGGCTCCAGACACTCACCTCTGTCAACAAGGCTCCTCTCAGGTATACATAGTAGTTGTGGGGATTTGGGGGTTTAGAAGTACAGCTGCAAAACGGTAGGGTTTGTGTAGATACTCAAAAGAACCGTCGTACAATGTTATATGTATACGTACCCTAGGCAGTTTTCTCCTCCCCTCTTGTGTATATACATACCATGTGTACAAATGTAAGTCTAGGGTAGCTGTATATAACTCATAATTGGCATCGATGTATAAATAGCTGCTGTCTCCTCTCTGGAGAACCAGAGTGGTATATCCCAAAATGGCAAATTGCCTAAAGAGTGGGAAAATGGGGGAAAATATGGGTAGGGTACACTTTAAAAAGTGAGATATAATTATGGGATTCTGCAAAAGATTGTCTCCTTCCAAAACGAATTTTACTGTAACACTTCAGGTCAGGAGTAGAATGTGGCCTTTGCGGGCTACACCATTCTGGCTCTCAGCCCTCAATCAGTTTACACATACTGTGCTTCTGTGTTGTGTTGTGTAGTTTGTAGTGTGCATAAGTCTCTCGCTCTCAGTCTGCGATGAGAGGAGCTCGAGAGAGATAGGATGTGACAGAGAGAAGCACGGAGAGAGATGCTTCCGAACGGACGAGGCAATGCGAGGATGAGAGAGTGACGATAGTCGTTGAGTTAAACAGGACCCTGGGGCTCCACACCATGAACGCAATCGTCGGTCACTAGAGTCTGTAGCGGGTGTCGACTCATTCATTCGAAGAGCGCTCTCAGCTCCAACATGCTGACATGTCCTTCCTCTGGTATGTACGTTGAGACAACAAAAAAACTCGCGCAAAATAGAAACTGCAGAAATATATCACGCTCACAGACTAGCAACATTTCACGTGTCTTTTAGTTGTGGGCGGTGTTGGGTGGGTATTTGGTGCAACGCGGAATGCCACATAATTATTTGCAACCTTATATATCTCGGATATGTGCTTGTGTGTGTCCGTGTTGACATGGAGATGTGGGTTTGTTGACGACACCACACAATCAAGCATACCTCCCGAGGCGTCTTCTCACGAACGCAATGCAGACGTTATGTTGATTTAGGACCTCGTGAGACCAAAAAAATTTATGAACAGTATTTTGGGTGTCGGGCTGTGGTGGTGCGATTTGAGGAGGGTGAGATAGAGAGTGCAGAGCTGAGTGGGTGAGTGAAAGTGTTATACTTTATGAAGCAATGAACAACACAGCAAGAGTGTTAGTTGCCAATTAGTATTCGCAGCACTTTATACGCAATAAGGTTTTTTGTTCTTGTCTCTATCTATCTATGCACTTCTTCGCTCTAAAACATTCTAACCTCTACTCTATCTTCTCACACCATGAGAGCTCGACTTCTTCCTTACGACAGACAGTTGAGGCCTGGGGCTGAGTTCTCGCGAACCCTTCGCTACCCTCCACAACTACCTTACATCATCGCCTTTCCCGTCGTCTGTACCGAGTCCTGAACTGTACCTCTCAGTTCTGTCCAGAGGAGGTGGGCAAGTCTTCCCTCCCTCTCTCCATGCATTAGTCTGGACCGCTTGTGCTCTCGTAGCATATGAAGTCTGTCCTAGAGGAGGTTGTGTGGGCTAGACATCTCGACGCATTGTTTCATGCTATTATCTATTATCTGTCCTAGCCCATGTTGCAAAGAACGGCGTCAAGACGCAGATAGAGAGATGCGAGCTATACTCGGACCCGCGATAGGTATTAGGTTACGGGGTGCGAAAGGATGCTGATGAGGAGGATGGCAACGTGACCAGTGGAAGTTACGGCCGTGTGGGATGATTGACGAATGCTGATGGAAACACGAGCGAAAAGAAGAAGAAAAAGCCAATACGCTAATTACGCTGACCGGGTCCGCCGCTTGCCTCTGTGCTATCAGTCACACGAAGGCCGGCTTTTCGTTGGTAGGTCTGGTATGGTTGGTGGGTCTAGACTCCGCATGCTATCTACTACTGTAGCTAGTCGTGTCAGACTCTCCGCGAGCTATTCCATAGCGGGAGACCACGAGTAACACAATACTAAAGCCAGCCATCAATTATTGGTGGTCCGGGGTACGCGCATGTTCGTCGCGAGGTTTGTGCCACTTTATAGTCCTTTTCATTACCATTATGTTTGGGAGTGTACACTAAGTTGCATCCGCGGGTCATGCCTGCAACTTCACAAACTGAACAAGTTTGCAGGTACAACACACGGTTACATACACACACGTGCATCCACAGTACAAGTTTCATGCCAACCACTCTTAGTATTGCAGCTACTACATATACTTGTTGCTCCACCAACCCATGTTGCTAGTGATGATAAATCTATGTATAATGTTATATAATCCCCAGCGAATCAACATTGGCGAGAGGTGTGTTAATTCAATCAACCATTTCCTGGAGTTCATAGCCAAGGAGGTGAAGCAGCTGCTCGAGAGCGCTCTAATGTGCAGAGAGAGGACCTCCTCGCGAACATGGGAGTCCTGCCATCAGGGAGGGTTGGTCTGATTTTCTCTGTATATGTCACCGATCTCCTCGTGTGCATTGTATGAGTGTTGTGTTAGAGTGGACTAGACTAAACTAGCAGCAAAGACCAATCACCACACCACTAAATCACAAAACACCCACACACAAACCCACACCCACACCACTCAGCACACACACACACACCAAATGATAATCTTTACGTACTGCACGTTGTACACAACAGTAACAGGTCACCCAATGCCCAGCACGTGTTTCTTATTCCTCTCTGGTATACATACTGTACTGTAACAACACCCAAGAAAAATACAATCTTTAAAGGCCAGGATGATACACGATTCAACTTTGTTTTGGTGTGACACAAAAGTTGCATGCAATTTTGTATTGACACTGTGCTGCAATCAAAAAAAACCCCAAAAAAAAAAAAAAAGAACACAATGCTTCTCTCAACTTGCATTGCCTATCGTTCCAATAAAAATATCAAGTTGCATGCAACTTTGCCTCACGCAACGAAGTTGCATCGTGTATATATGATATCATGGCCTCAGATACTAAAGTGGCCACAGGAGGCAAACCTTTTTGAATGGGGGTACATACGATTCCCCCACCCCCTCCTCCCTAAAAGACTCCCTCTCCCTCTACTCCTCTCTCTCTCCCAAACTCTCCTACCTCTCCCCTCCTCTCTTCTCCTTCCCTCAGCAAGCTAGGCCTTCCTCTAACACGGAGAGCAGGGGTCATACAGTGGGAAACAACAAAAAACCGGGTGAAGAAGGAGAAGAAGGGGGGAGGGCGGGGGGGGGGCGTGGAGGGGGGGCTGCGGGGACCAGAAACAGGCCTATTCTGCCCAGTAGGGTGTTCACTCCGGAGTTAGAAGCATCGCAGGAACAGAGAAGACAGTGTCAAGTCAGTCACTCAGTCGAACCTCTGCTCCTCTTCCCCCTTCCTTTTTCCTCCTTTCACTCAAGTCAAAGGCCCTGAAAAGGCCCGGGAAGGGAGGACCGTGGGAGGGAACGCGGGGGCGCCCCGCGCCCGGGCCGGCCAAGATGCAGACCCGCGTAACGCGGCCGGCGGGCAGGGCCCAGCCAACAGCCAAGTCCGCCAACTCTGGACAACTGAAGGCGCCCCGCGCCCGTCCAGGCACGCCTGAGCAGACCCGCTGACACCGCCGCCCGGGGCGTCATCCGCGCCCAGTCCCAGCTGAAACCGGAACACCGAATTATCACCCGGCCGGCCGGCACGCCCGGAGCACGACCCGCGGACACCTGGTCCGCCCGGGGGCGAGTCAGGCCGGCGCCACACCGGCCCAAGCCGCAACCGGGGAACACGCGGCGCCCAGCGCCCCGGCGGCACGCCACGGAGCAGAACCCTGCGGGGCGGACACCGGGCTGCGGTGGCGGGTGCCGGTGCGGGAGTTAGCAGGCCCAGGGCGCCACCGATGCCCACATCCGTTAACAGGAACACCGCATGCCACAAGGGCTGCACGCAAGAACGAGCCCGGCCGGCGGACCTAGGATAACAAGGAGTTACTGGAGCGCTACAGTATATGGCATCACTGTGTCGGTGGCGAGCAGGAAAAAAGGTGGGGGGGTGGGGCGGGGTTTTCCTCATGAGGGTCAAAGAATCCCTGGTTGTAAGGCCATTATAGTCTCATGCAATACCCACGGGTATACATCGCCCTGCTTTCCTCCTCTCCGCCATGCATCGTAATTTGCTTTATGTTCGCGGGTGCTGAATGGGGCTTCAGGGTTGTGGGTGAAAAGAAACCAAGCGGAAATAGCATCAGTTTTAGGCTAGTATTTAGCTAAGGAAGCAAATAATGGAGCAACTCACGAAAGTCAAAGTAGCTGAGTAAAAAGTAAACAAGTAAATGGGTTCCCCCCCCACCTCTTCAGTGGTTCTAGCAACAGGGGCGGATCATAATATGCTGGATCCGCCTCTGAGCAAGGAGTTAAACCATTTTTGCACCTCGTTTTCAATAGAAAGTTTGTGTTCCTTTGCCCACGATCACTGTCTCTCTCTCTGTGTCTCTCTGTGTGTTGTTGACTCCAGGAGTGACATTGTGCTGGGGAACCTGGTGTCCATATGTCAGTCCATCAGCAGTTTCCCCATACTATCAGCCTGGGACCACACCTTTGTCCCTCGCGAGTACCTCGTAGCCCATCTCGAGGACCTGTTCATGAAGTGAGTCCAATACAATATGCACAGTATGTGTAGTTGATTACTGTCCCGGTACTCCGCACGAATGCATGCAATTTTTTTGGGGAGCAAATGCGATTTTTCACACACTTATTTAAAATTATACATAAAGTATAGCAGTGTAGGTGCAGTGCTGTGCTCGTCGCACATGGCAAGCACTCAGGTGCAAACCCTCGGTGCTAGGAACGCACACGTGAGCGTTGATGTGTACCGAGCCATCCCTCGATATTATTTTCCCGTTTTCCATGTCAGCAAGTAGGGCAGGACCCCCAGCACTGTGTTTTCTCGTGTAACCCGCGTGCAGGCACAAACACTGGTGCATGGTTATTTCATTGCACGGTAGGTTGCTCATCCATTGAGTAACATTCTCGCTATACAATACAGTGTAAAGTTCCTCTGAGGTACCTTACACTGTAATGTTCCGAGTGTAGCGAGAATAAAGGGCCTAAGGGCTCAGTGCTTATAATGCGTGCAGATTTGATAGACGAGAGCGTACCGTATTACGAGAAAATTACTACTGAGCATTTCTGGCGAGATGGAGTGAATGCTAGTAAATTTTTCAGTACATTTTTCTCCCACCCACCCTCTCTCCCCCTTCCCCCTCCCTCCCCCTCCTCTCCCTCTCCCTCTCCAGGCGTGTGTTTGCTATGATGCGCTACAACATGGAAACTCACGACATCGCCCGGCCCTCGGAGGTCCTGGCCCGGATCCAGTCCTACATGTCCGCACTCCGTACCCTGGAGCTCTATGTGACCATTGACATGACCCGGGTCCTCACAGCCGTCCTCCTACAGGAGACACAGATGCTGGATAGCAAGGGAGAGGCCACCCTCGCTTCCACTTACACTGCCTGGTGGGTGCGGTCTTCCCTACCCTATTTTCCACTGCTTCTGCCCCCTCCCCCCTTTGCTTCTCTTTTTCTGAAGTTTGTTCCCCTCTCTTTCTCCTCCCTTCACTCCCTTCTGTGTAAATGCTATTTTTGGCTTCTGTTCTTTACTGTTTTACTCTATCCTGTTCCTTTCTACTCTTCTCTCCCCCTTGTTTTCCATCACTCCATTCTTACCTCCCTCTCCTCCCCTCCTCCCCTCAACCCTTCCTCCCTCCCTCTCTCTCTCCCTCTCTCCCTCCCTCTCCCCCCTCCTCCCCTCCTCCCCTCCTCTCTCTATTGAAGGTATACCAACACTCTACTAAAGAGGGTAGCAGTTGGAGGAGTATGCTACAGTGTCAGTAGAAAATGCTTCGTATCCAAAGCAATAATGCCCTTCAAAGCAGAGGAGTATACTGACATCACCGGTGAGTATACTAACATCAGGGTTTAGTATACTTAGAGTATATCAAGTTTATAATACTAAGTATACTAGAACACCATCACTTCCGAGTATACTGAGAGTATATATATTAGATACTAAGTATACTAGAACAGATCCTTCTT